ATTGAATGTGTACAAAGAATATTGTAACCGAGCACATGATTTGAGGGAAATACTTCTCTCCTGTGGCTTTTTCCCCCTCACTTTCTCCAAAGGGTTTATAATGATGTTAAATTGATTAGTGTTGTTATAAAACAAAACTGGTTTAATTTTAATTGCCAGGCGCTCCTAGTACTCACTCCTAGTTTATTTACCAGGTAGCAGACCTCCCAGTGAATGGCTTGAGGATGGTTTTCGCTTGCGTGACTTGAATACAGTCACTATAGGGGACTTGCCTGCTCGGTTGGACTGGTCTATCATGGGCTGCACTATTCTTCTCCGGGCATTAATAAACCTGTAACCGAAAAAGTAAAGCAAATCATTATTCTTAAAAAAAAAAAAAAAAAAAAAGGTGGAAGAAGAGGAAGAGATGAATCACAGTGAGGCGATGCTGATCTTGGCAAAATGTGACTGTCACCCTCCTTAGCTCTATGTGCAGCCTCACATGCTGCAAAACCTATAACCCCCTGCGACCTTTGAGTACAAGGCTTGGGGTTTCTGAGTTGATTTATGTTTGCCTGTTTTACCACAGTTGGACACTTCCATTTCATCTTTTCATGGGGGAATTAGTCACTTTCCAGGAAACAATGCTGGGCACCACTCTTTTCAATTGCAATAGGGGAGACTTTGGTGTAGAGAGTGAGATGCTCACAAGGACATCTGTTACCTCGCTGCATTAGAAACATTTCCACCCTATGCTCTCTGAGTTCCTTTTGACAATTTTTATCCAAACCTCCCCTAGCTTTTTAAAACCTAATTCTATTTTAATGCCTTCTATTAAGATAATGAACTGGGATGGCAGCACACCATCAAATGAGGGAATGTCTGGAGTTTATCACCACTAACTCACACTACTGGGGACTTCAGAGAAATGCATTCCTTGTGGAGATTTCTTGGGGTGGCTTTTTTTTCTTTTTATGCAAAGTCTGAGGTCAAGGCAAGGTCACAGCTATATAATAATTGAACGTATAGTCTTGCTTTGTGCAGCTACTACTGAAAATTTATAAACATCTTATTAAATCATGTAAGTCACATTATATGTCTTAATAAGGATTTTAGTACAATTATTTTTGTAGCCCCTCTAAAAATGATGCGTCACTGAAATATCGAAAAGTAGTTAATATAAGCTCTCCAAAGTCACCTTCATGAGATTTTAACCCTTAAGGTCCATTTGTACTGCATAATAAGAATTACACAGCAAATACAGAAATGAGGAGGACATATTCGATTCTGAACTAGTAAATTGTTTTTAGTTCCTGACTCAGACTTCTCAACTCAGATTTGAATATATCAAATCTAAGAAGGACATAAAAAACACAGTGAAAAGTTTAATAATGCACTATCAATAATTAAAGGATCCATGGTCCAGTATGGATTCTAGTTTGTATGTCTTTCCACTTTGGGAAGGAAAATAGCTCCTAAAAGCCAAACCATTAAATAGACAGAGACAGGTTTTTAAAATAAAAATGTATAACTTCACAACTTGTTAAGATTTCAATATCTTGTATCTTATGTTCTTTCATTAACTGAGAAGTAATTATAATAGATAATGAAAATGGAAGCTAACTAAAAGGTACACTGTTGGTACTATTACCAGCAATATACGTAACAGTTCTTGTATTTGAGGCCCTTGAACTGCTAATAAAAATATTTAAAACTCAGATCTCCAACAAATTGTGTTGCAAATCAGGTTATCATTATCTTGTATAAACCGTGAAAATTGGAATCATGTGAGCAGAAGGTTAGATTAATTCTCCATTCTCATTATAAGCACAGGTGTAGCACAAACACCATGTGAAATAACCAATTAAAATGAAAAAAAATCTGCTCTTTCATTAGCTGCCTTCACTGCATGACCAATTAGAAAATTATTTAATATTAATATTCTTGCATATACCAAAAGTAATTTTCATAGTAACTACACAGGTAAGAAAGAGAGAAAAAAACAGCTCTTTATCTGTGGCAGTGCCCATCATCTGCTCTTACAAGAAAGGAAATCAGTCTGTTAACTTTCTTTCTTACCTCCCTTTGAAAACACAAAATTTTATGTATATGATTTATACTATTTACTTAAAAATAGGGAAGAGCCATTTTCAACAGATGGGGGAAGGCTCAGTGAAGTTAAGCGACCTTTTTGAGGTCACATGTCACCAAAGAGATGTTAGTAATTTGTAAAATGACACATAGCTGGCAAATACCTGTGAGCACCCTACTCTCAGACACTGCCCAGAGCATGTCCACTGCTGTGCCAACAATCTACCACATTCCAGGATCCAGAGATATGTACAAATTAGCTGGTTTTGACTCAGTTTCCACTGGCAGCAACTCTAATATTGAGTCAAAGAACATGCATGAATATGAACATCTCAGAGATGAAGAATTTTTAAGGCTGTACTACTTGTGTCTGTGGACAGAGAGAAAGCTACTCAGGAAAGATTCAGTGACTCAGTGTATCAATACTCCCAAAGCTTGTCTCCTTCACACTTACACTTCCAGACGCTCATTCATTGTAACCAACTCAGGTTTGAGTCTATGGCCATTCCACCCGCGGAATCACAGGAATCATAAGTCAGCCTTAGAAAGGGCTTTCACCGTCATCTACTACAGCATTGACATGAGTCTCCTCTATAACGTTCCCGCATGGATGGAAAAGCTCTGCTGGACTGTTTCAAATATAGCTCCCATCATTGACCTGAGCATCCACTCCATCTCTGGGCAAGGCAAGCTGTCTTACAAGTCCCATCATTGACCTGAGCATCCACTCCATCTCTGGACAAGGCAAGCTGTCTTATGAGATTTCAAATCCTTTTGCATTACAACCCCTTGGGATCATTTAAACAATTCTAACCTCACTTTCTTAGGACAGCTTTTCAAATATTTAAACATAGCCACCATGTACTATAGGTGTCTCTCCCCTTCTCCCTAGATGAAACATTCCTGTTTCTGTCTGGAGCATGAGTCCTTCTCTTATGCTGAGTCCACTTAGACCCCCATTCTGCCCCATGTGCTGAGGTTTATCTGTGTCCCTCTCAAGATCTGCCATGCACAACACTAACCACACTTAGCCATACCTACTGTGGTGCCCGTGCAGAGAGAGCAAATCCTTTACCGCAATCTTAGCTAAGGGCCCACAGGCATTAGGTGCGATTTGCTACTGCTTTTCCTTCTTGCTTTACTTTAAGTGGCAATAGCTGTTTTTATTGATAACAGATATAAATGACATATGGTTATGTAGATTTTAAAGTAGGAATCCTTTCCTTAAAAAGCAAAGCAAAACAAAAACGCTGAATATTTAAGAAAACTTAATCCCTCTGAACCATTTGAGTCCATTCCTAGGTCTACCTGGAATTTGTATTTTTGAAATATTTCATATAAAATTCAGTATAATGTAATGTTATCCATAATATATTGGACACAGGGAGCTCTCAGAATATGACTGAATTATTATTCTCACGCTTTCATGAGCAACTTGCTATCTGAGGTCATGGTGGACATTTTTATCCGAAAGTAGCTAAGGAAATAGGAAAAAACATTTTATTTGCTAAAGCAACATCACCTTTCTTATCTTTACATCATTTCAACATTTGACTCTTGTCAGTGAATTCTCTCATCATCCCAGACTATCTAACAAGTATTCTTTCCTTGGAATTATGCTACATGCAGCAGAGCCATGTGTTCAGATGGCTTCAGGGGTGAATTCTGATACAAAAACATTTTCCTTCTGGGCAAAGTAATAAAATGACATTCTTGCTCCTCCTACTATAAGTCAAACGGAGGTCAGTTCCCCCATCCCTCTATCTGTTTAAATAAACTGGTCCAGCTGTTTGTTTCTAAAATGCCCTTTGACCTTGTGTCTCATCCTCTCCGCCTTTGTGACAGAATGCTTTACTTTTCTTTGTGGGTTGGTTGAAATTATCAGTAATTTCCTAGACATTGAACAACAACAAAAAGACCTTAGATTTGATATGAACCTAAACGTACACGTTTCCTTCTTACAACCATGTCATTTTCAAAAGCATCAGTACATAGTCATAGTAAGCTCATGTGTTTGTTCTCATATATAGTATATGCATATTATTTAAATATATATTATGTATTATTATATATAATAGTTAATGTATTAGAGCTTAAAAATGGTTTTGGAGGACGTATAGAAGAAAATAATTAAATTCAAATTTGGGTATACAGCCAGGCACGGTGTACAGGCACACACGCAATTCCCAGCACTCAGGAGGCTGAGGTAAGAAGATCACTTCGAGTTTGTGAGTTCAAAGTCAGCCTGGAATATACAGCAAGACCTTTTCTCCCAAAGAAACAAACAAACACACTCAAATTTTGGTGTATAACAAAAAATATATATTCCAATAGCCACAAAATAGTATAAGTAACCTATCTATGAACTATAAACTTAGAATTTCCCATAATGATGAAGACTCTTTAAAAAGTTTATTAATTTAAAGTTATAAGAGAATACTTACTATTTTACCATTGGTATTCAAATATAACAACCTTTAAAACTCAGATATAGGATGTCGGGAATACATGACAATGTAACATTTGGTTTAATCATTAAAATAGACAGTTGCACACCTTTGTTTAATAGTTTGTAATTCAAATTTTCCATAAACTGAGCTTTTAAAGACAGTAAACCTTTTAGTTAAGTATGCTTTTAGATTAGAAAGTATCTTGCCTGCCTTTCTATGTTACATTTTGAACATCAAGGTATTTTTTAAAATCATGATTTGCCTCCAAAACACAATACTTTTTCGTGAAGTACTTTTTAAAGAACTGATACCCTCTTATACATGGGGTAAAACTGAATTAGATGATGAATTTTTATAGTTTTTAATGATGGATTAGAATTTCTACTAGTGATCAAGCTATTTTCTGTCTCAAATCAAAAGTTTTACTAAAAAAAAAGAAAAAAATGGAAGATAGTGGGTTGGATTTGTAGCTTTATCCAATGTCAAGATAAAGAGAGATGTACTTCTTTTTGAACTAACTTTTTAGGACTCAAGTTCTAATAAGGCAAAGTGGGGGGGTTGGAAGGGGGACAAAATTTTGCCAAATCAGAGGTGTGAGATCATCTAAAACTTAATTTTATTTTTTTGCATTTTTAATAGAAACCTGCCAAGCAAAATGAGAAGTGAATCTGAATTTTGTTCAAAAAAAATACAGAAAGCTTTGCTTTCTTCTTTCTTTGCTTTGCTTTCTTCTCCTTAGGTGTTTATTTTTGTTCCATTCTGCTAATTCCGTTTACCTCCTTTCACACTCGGTCCTTGGATACCTCAACAG